ATGGCTGGTTGGATTTGAAAAATGGATGGGAGGATTCCAATCAGTTCAGGACAGTTGACCCCCTCCATCAGTGTCCAAACTGATGGAGAAAGGACCTTTTCTGGTACTCCCACCAAAGTAGCCTGGCAGATTTGGAGACATCCCGTTTTAATTCTCCAAAGGGATGATTCGATGCACAGATTGGATGGCATGGACCCCAAATTCAATCTTTGCAGAATTGGAACAAGGCACATGCCAGGTTCCTCACTGCCAGTCTGAGCTGCATTTCCATCTTCCTCTTTTTGACTTCCTAAAATAACCTCCCAACTGAAACCTGAGTCTCCAAAGCTGCTTTTTTAGCACCCATTGAACCTTTAGAAATCTTTTATGTCCAGTGTACTCTTTAGAAGCCAGCAGACCCAAATGGCAGAGGAACCAACCAAGGCAGAGTGGAGGTTTTCGTTTTATAATTGCAGTATTGTGACAATGTGGAGAATTGATAGCTGACGTTTTAAACTTCATTTTATCCCCGGCTTGACAATTTCCCTAGCTCAATTGCCTTACTGTATTCCGCTGCTCGCAATGTGTAGCTCTCTAGGGACGGTCCAACTACGGCTCCCATCAGGCCAGGAAGGATGGGAGTTGCAGTCTAAGCAATCCCTGAAGTGTCACCGTTGCTGCGTCCATTCTGCATTTTTGGGAAAAGTGAAATAGCCACTTTGCTGAGTTGCAGTTCAAGACAGAGGCCAACCCTTTTTAACTGCTGGGGTTTTTCATTTATTTTCCCTGGTGTTTCACTGCCCCCCCCTCCAAGTTCCTTAGTTTCACTATCTGGTGGGCTTTTGTTGTTTTAATAGCAAGCAAGTCAAACCTGCCTGCTGAAGTTGACTCAGTGTACTTCCTCCAGGCTTCTTGTCACCAAAAGATTTCGTTGTATTAAAATTTAGTTCTGAATAAATTGTAAGAAATGACCTTCGCCTCGCACTGTGCTTTTGAGTATCTGGAGCGGGAAGCCCTTGATTTTGGGACTAGGCGGGATGTGGCTACAGATGGCTAAGAAAGATTTTTCTCTGAAATCCTAGGAAGTTAACAGAATAACACGAGTCAGAAGGAACCTTAGAGATCTTCTAGTCCAATCTCCTGTGCAAGCTTGAGAGCCTATACCATTCTGGGCAAATGGCTGTCCGATCTCTCCTGGGGAATTCTGGGAATTGAAGTCCACAAATCCTAGAAGTTGCAAAGTTTGGAGATCCATGGTCTAGTGGTTAAAGAACCAGATTGGAGAGATTTTTAAAGGGTGACTGCAGGATATGGTTAAAAAAAATAAATAGAAGAAGATGGAACAAACAGAAAACTGCTGGAGCTTTGATTATCACTGCCATTTTGACTTATTTGACCATATCCTTGGATGGTTAAAGAGAAGTAACCAGCCTGAACAGAAAAAGATGGTAACTCTCATCAATTTCTCCCTAAACAGAATAATGGAAGGGACCTTGGAGGTCTTCTAGTCCAGCCCCCTGCTCAAGCAGGAGACCCTATACAATTTCAGACAAGCGACTGTCCATTTTTCTTCTTAAAAACCTCCAGGGATGAAGCACCCACAACTTCTGGAGGCCAGCCGTTCCACTGGTTAATTGTCCTCACTGTTGGGAAGTTTCTCCTTAGTTCTAGATTGTTTCTCTCCTTGATTAGTCTCCATCCATTATTTACAGTTAACAGTGGTTACTCAAATAAACCACAATTGGCAGGACTCCACACAAACTGCTAAATCAGAAAACAAAAACTAGCTTCTGTGGTTGTGTTCACATGTAATGCTAAACCAAACTCTATATTTGGTTTTCGATCAACTGGGGAATCTTATGTTTCTGTGTGAACTTAATTTGAATGGCTAGTTAGACAGCTATGAGGCATCAAGTTAACCCACAGCCCACATAATTTTATTGTACACCCTTCAGAAGGATAAGGGTGGTCTAAAAATGTCACACATAAATAAAAAAAATAACTGCCAGCCACTGAAAGCCCTTAAACTCCATTAATCTATCCTCTTTCCCAAACTTGCAAAAATTCCCATGAGATCAAACATAAAAAAAAAAAAAAAACCATTGGAGGTAGGCTGTATTAAGTTTTGAGCAGAGAGCTTGGACAATGTTTATTATGGAAACTTAGGAACATAAGCCTTCTGTTTTATCTTTGTTGATTAATTGGACAGTGAGACTGTTTAATTACACATTGAACCTTGAACGATCTGTTTCTTCCTTTTAAAACAAACTTCTAAAGGATCTCAAGAGATTGGGGTTTATCTTGCGTCCTCCATGCAGAATGCAATCTAACTCTGCTCATTATATTGTTTGTCACCGGTTGCCTTGAACTTTGAATTCGTTTCAAGCTTTCTCTATTTTTCATGTTTACTTATAGGTTTGGCTCTCTGGGGCTCCAAAGACCACCTTTAACCAACATATTTTAATAGCTTAGTGTTTGTTTTAAAGTTTTCCACTTTCATAATTAAAAAAAAAGGGTTTTATTTGGCTCAGTTAGCCTACCACCCTGAGATAATCTTGGTTAATCTCAAAAGGCACAATGGGGGAGAAGATCTGGTTAGTACGAAGATGCTGCTGGGAAACTCAAGATACAAATATTCACTTTTATCAGTTTAAGCAAATAAAGTTAATTTCCTTGGCAAGATTGCCCTCTACCGATGATTGGTAATAACGACTTCCCAGCCCCGTTCAGAAATTGAAATACGATTGGGACACGTTCATATACGAAGTAGCCAACTGTAATGCATGTGGGAATGACCTTGGGAGGTGGGGAGGAGCTGCAGAGAGGAGAATGATTGGATAAGAGGCAGCTGGACCCAGAGAAGGAATAAGAGTGTGGAAAATATTTCAGAAACACTCTCTAGTTTCTTGGATGTAAAGGCGAGGGGGGTGGAGGGAATTTGGAATATTCGTTCCGATTTGCAAGATTCTGTTAAGGTAATTTTACAATAAAGTAGAGCTAGTTCATTTGGGTGTGCATCTCGTCTGGACTACCTCGCAAGGCTGTCACCAACTCTTCCCTTTTTTTGCATTCCTCTTGAGTTTCTCTCCTAACCCATTTTAGCCGTGTGGTTATTGCAGATTGGTGGGACTGTTTCCTATAGGAAACAAATGGTGACTGGAGTTGGGGGGGGGGGAAAGAAAATTAACATTTTCCTTCCCAAAGTGAGAATTCGTTGGTTCTACCTGCCTGTCGGAGCCGACCCTGACCCCTCTTTTGAGGGACACCAAGTCAACCCCGTCTACCCCAGTTGAGCAGAATGCGTTGATCCTTAGCAGAGCTGTAGAGTTTTAATTCTTTTTGTGGAGGCCTTGTACGCAAAGAGACCCTGTCCTATCACTTCTGCCAAGAGAGGGCTTGGTCACGCTGGCTCTCCCCAGCTAATCCCTTGGATTACCTGAGTCCACTCCTTCGGAGCTGGGCTGAGGTCCAAGGTTTTCTGTCTTCAGCCTTGGGTGGGGGGGGAGAAGGAGCAGCCGTTCTTGGGTTCTCCTAGAAAACCATGTTTGGTGGGAAAGCCACTGTTGATCCCCGCCACACCCAGTGAGCAATGCACTCTGTATGTAGGCCTCCTTTCCTCCATGCTCTAGCCAGATGCTTTGGATCTGTCTGCTTCCCAGCGCCAGGTTTTTGTTCCACCTGGCTAAAGAGTTTTGGAAACCTCAACTCTGGACTGTTCTGGCCTGGTTGCGTGGATGGTTCTGCCCAATTATGGAGCTGGCATCTTTCTTTCTTTCTTTCTTTCTTTCTTTCTTTCTTTCTTTCTTTCTTTCTTTCTTTCTTTCTTTCTTTCTTTCTTT